TAAGTTGGAATTGACTTCATGGTAGCGGGTTTTTTTTTTTTTCAATGTATAGAATTCTCCCAGAGCTGGGCTATCCAGTATGGTAGCCAATAGCCACATATGGCTACTGACCACTTGAAATGTGGCTAGTGCCACTGAGGAACTGAATTTTTAATTGCATTTAATTGTAATTAAGTTTAAATGACCACAGGTGTCTAGTGGCTGCACTATTAGACAGTGAAGTTCTTGTGCAACATACAGGCCATTGATGGTACCAGCTCTGTAAGGTCTGGGCTTGAAGTGGAGGCTGAGGTGTCCTCCCCAGTTCTGTAGCAGATTTAGGGCATTATTCCTGGTTGGGTAGCTGCCAAGCCTAGTCCCGGTCTCTTAGGGAGCTACTCATTAACCTTCACTAAGTTCCTTTTCTGCCTCAACTGCCCTGTGATACTTAAGTGGTACAAACGAGATATGGAATGCAAAAGTGTCTGGCACAGGGACCAGTTCAGGAAGTGCTCAATAAATCTTTGCTTCCCATCTTTTCCCTAGGAATCAACATACTCAAGTGCTAATGAGGGCTTACTTTGGATGAGTCATCAGGAGGGACTGATTGTTGGAGCAGCGCATCATGTTCGGTAAGGTGGAGGGCCAACGAAGGTGAGGGAACTCTCAATGAGATGAACTGACAGAATGGCAAAAATAACGGACTCAAACATACCAACCATCATGAAGATGGCGCAGGACTTGGCAATGTTTTGTTCTTTTACACATAAGGTTGCCATGAGTCAGAGTCAACTCAACAACAACAATGAATAAGTAAAACTACTGTATAGGAAGTGTACTCTGTTCTGTCTCTCGAGATTAAGTAATAATATTGTCTAATACCCTTAGATAAGGAAGGTAGACAGAAAAAGAGGAAAACTCCACCCCAACTCCCACCCACCTCTGGTAGTGTCTTCTTGAGGATAAGATAGCATCCAGAGTCCCTTGGTGGTGCAAATGGTTAAGTACTTAGCTACTAACTGAAAGGCTGGCAGATCGAATCCACCCAGTGGTGCCTTGGAAGAAAGTCCTGGCAATCTATTTCCGAAGATCACAGCCATTGAGAACCCTATGGAGCACAGATGTACTCTGATAAACATGGTGTTACCATGAGTCGGAATCAACTCAATGCCACCTGGTCTGGTTGTTGTTTTTTTTTTTTTTTAACTAGTTTAGCATTCAGAAAAAACAAAAACCAAACCCACTGCTGTCTAGTCAATTCTGACTCATAGCGACACTATAGGACAGAGCAGAACTACCTCATAAGGTTTCCAAGGCTGTAATCTTTATGGAAGCAGACTGCCACATCTTTTTCCCACGTTGCTGCTGGTGGGTTCGAACTGCCGACCTTTGGGTTAGCTGCCGAGTGCTTAACCACTGTGCCACCAGGGCTGACAATCTATCCATACTTAAGGGTTCAGAGAAATAGTGTGCTCCTAACTTTAAGGGGGAAGGCAGTGTCTATTTTCAGTCCATGAATTATAGACTTGAGGCCTCTTTAAGCCTTTACCTTCCCTTAGTCTGCATAGCCTAATTTATATTCTCAGCTTATAGAAATGAGCAAAAAATTTAAAAAAGTAGGAACACAATTTAGTTCTATGCAATTCATTCCCAAACGGACTCATGCCCCCTGAATAAAGCTGAAGTGGGATTTACACATTCAGAGATTCAGAGTCAGGTGCAGCTGACAGGTTACCAGGGCAACCCATTAGCTCTGGGAGAGCTACTGCCCCTCCCACTGGTGGAAAGAGTGCTTCAGTGTCACGCTGTTTGTCTGAGAGCATTCGCAGCTCCGGGGGAGGGAAACGCTTTCAACAGAGCTTCCTAAACAGTGCAGGGTAAAGAAACCCTCGGCTCTCAAGTCAGGCTATTGATGTTTGAATTCCAGCTCCACCACTCACTATCTTGTTACAGAGTATCTGTGAGCCTCAGTTTTCTCATCTCTAAAATGGGGATATAAACAGACATTTTTTTTTTTAAATGCTGGGATGATTAAATGGGTTCATATATATAAAGTGCCTGATGTATTGTTGTTAGTGGCCTTCAAGTCAGCTCCGACTCATGGTGACCTTACCTAAACAGAATGAAACATTGCCTGATTCTGTGCCATCTTCATGACTGTTGGTATGTTTGAGTCCATTCTTGTGGCTATTGTGTCAGTCCATCTCACTGAGGGTTTCCTTCGTTTTTGCTGACCCTATACTTTACCAAGGAGCTCTGGTGGCTCCGCAGTTAAGCTCTTGCTGCTAAGCGAAAGGTTAGCAGTATGAACCCACCAGCTGCTCTGCAGGAGAAAGATGTGGCAGTCTGCATCCGTAAAGATTACAGCCTTCAAAACCCTGTGGGGCAGTTCTACTCTGTCCTAAATGGTTACTATGAGTCAGAGTCAACTCAAAGGGCAACAACAACATACTTTACCAGCCCAGTGTATAACCCATTAAAAACTTGTTGCTGTCCAGTCAATTCCAACTCATAGTGACCCTGTAGGACAGAGGAGAACTGCCCCATAGGGTTTCCAAGGCTGTAAATCTTCAAGGAAGCAGACTGCCACATCTTTCTCCCACTAGCAGCTGGTGGGTTCGAACTGCCGACCTTTCAGTTATCAGCAGAGTGCTTAACCACTGTGCCACCAGAGCTCCTTAGCCTGGTGTACAGTGGACACTAAATATTGTTATCATACATGTCACCCAATACACATGGTAATTAATAATACTACTGTTTATTGAACTTTCACTACATGTTCTGCACTGAGGTAAGTGTTTACATATAATACTGTACTTATTCCACATAACAAGCCCTCAAAATAAGTATTTATCCCTATTTTAGAAATCAGGTTTCAAACAGCTAGTGGAAGGGTCAGGGCTTGAACCCAGGACTAGTCTGTGTCTTCCATGATTTCATTCATTTATCTAGCACATATCTATTGAGTACCCACTATTCTTACCCACCACATAACACTCATGATCTATGACTGCCTTTCAATGAAAACTCAAGGTTGATATTGCAGGTTCTTGGATTATAAAGAGGCTTTCTTGTAATAATTAAATAAGCATTCCATCTATGTTTGCAATACAGTTGATTTACACTTCATTCTTTTCTTAAAACATTCACATGTTGTTTGCTTTTCCCAGCAAACATGAGAGATGAGGCTTTGCATTCCTTCTCAGCAGAAAGCTGCCCCTCTTTGCAGGGGATTGAGACAGTACACAGAGGCTGAGCATCTTCTCTTATGTTGGCAAACCACTGATTAATTACCTGCATTTATGCATGAGGCAGTGGTGGTTCAGTGGTAGAATTCTTGTCTTTCATGCGGGAGACCAGGGTTCAATTCCCGGCCAATGCACTTCATACGCAGCCACCACCCACCTGTCAGTGGAGGCTTGTGTAGTTGCTGTGATGCTGAACAGGTTTCAGTGAAGCTTCCAGACTAAGACGGACTAGGAAGCAAGGCTTAACGATCGACTTCTGAAAATTAGCCAATGAAAACCCTATAGATCACAATGGTGTGATCTGCAACCAATCATGGGGATGGTGCAGGACTGGGAAGTGTTCTGTTTCATTGTGCATGGGCCACCATGATTTGGGGACCAACGTGGTGGCAGCTAACAACAACCACCACCTCTCATCAGTCAGTTTGTCGTACTGTGGTGGCTTGCATGTTGCTATGAGGCTGGAAGCTATGCCACCGATATTTCAAATACCAGCAGGGTCACACGTGGTGGACAGGTTTCAGCATAGCATTCAGACTAAAACAGACTAGGAAGAAGGACCTGGAAGTCTACTTCTGAAAAAATTGGCCAGGGAAAACCTTATGAATGGCAGCAGCACATTTTCCAATATAGTGCCAGCAGATGAGCCCCTCAGGTTGGAAGGCACTTGAAATATGCCAAAATAGCAACAATTATGAGGATGGTGCAGGACTGGGCACTGTTACATTCTATTGTACACAGGTTTGCTATGAGTTGCAGCCAACCTGATGGCACCTAACAACAAAAACAACACCTAGTGGCTATTATATCCCAGACTCTCTGATACATTTTTTTCCCCACATGCATTATTTCATTTAATCCTCGCAGCTACTCTATGAGGTGCTATTATTATCAACCTGTTTTACAAATGAGGAACTGAGGCATGCAGAATCTCCCTCTGGAGGGGTCCAGGTTGAGTAACTTGCCAGTGGTCACGAGCTGGAGGGGGCGGAAGTGGGATTTGGATGCAAGCAGTCTGCCAGGCCTGAGTGTTGGTTCATGTTATTTCTCTGTTTTGCGGAGTTAAATTTCCCTAAATTAAACACTCCTATGAAACAAATCCACCCCGTCAATAACTCCACATCCAACTGTCTCGTGGTCTTAAGGGTGTCTGTCTCCCTGTCTCCTTTGACTGTGTGACCTGAGTTTGGCAGAGACTGTGTCTTTCAGCTGTGTGGAACTGGCTTAGGGCCAGCTCACAGCCTGAGCTCAGGAAATGTTTCAGGAAGGAAAGAAGACACAAAAATGGAAAGGTAGGAGGTGGGAGAAAAGAACAAGAAACAGAACAGTATCTGTTATAGGTTAAAGTGTGTACCCCAAATGTGACTTTATTTGGAAAAATGTTCTTTGTACACACAACCAAGTTAAGAAGAGGTCCTCGGGGTGGGCCCTAATTCAACTGATGTTCACTTAAGAAGAGGAGAAGAGACACAGAGACACAGACAAAGACACATAGAGAGGATGCCATATGCAGACGGAAACAGAGTGATGCATCTTCAAACCAAGGAACACCAAGGATTGCCAGTAACCACCAGACGCTAGGAAGAGGCAAGGGAGGATGCTCCCCTATAGCCATCAGAGAGAGCATGGGCCTGCTGACACTCTGATTTCAGATTTCTAGCCTCCAGAACTGTGAGACAATAAATTTCTGTTGCTTGAAGTCACCTAGTTTGTGGTATTTTGTTACAGCTTCCCTGGGAGATGAATACAGTTATCTCTCAAAGGAAAGCTCACCTTCTGCAGCTTCTTCCTTTCTGCTTCCACCGATGAGCGAACTGATTTGATTTCTACCGTGTGCTTTTTCACCAAGTCTTCCATTCGCTTCACTATCTGGTCTCTGAGATGTTTCTTCTCTTCTTCTGTCTGATGTTTGATTTTACGAAGGTCTTCTTCATATTTCTGCTTCATATACTCCGTCTCAACACTTGCATCTTTCTTGGTCTAGTGAAAGAGAAGACCTTGTAAAACTGCTGGGATGGGGGTGAGAAGCAGGGAATCAGCAGTTCTCCATTATACAACTTTTACCCATGTCTATAAACTGATTTTACAGCATGTATCACAAGGTGCAATAAATTTCACACGGCCAGATATTTGATATTTGGAAAAGGGATCTTTGGGATGGTATATCTATTGCCACAGAATCAGATATTCCAGCCTATACTGCCGTAGTTTCTAAAGAATGCTTTGTTTATTTTCACTGGGAACACATAATGGCAACTTAAGCAAGATTCTGGAGTCCTGGGTGGCGCAAATGGTTAAAGTACTCGGCTGCTAATTGAAAGGCTGGAGGTTCCAGTCCACCCAGAAGCGCCTCAGAAGAAAGTCCTGGCCTTCTGAAAGACCAGCCACTGAAAACCCTATGGAGCACAGTCCTACTCTGACACACTCATGGGATCACCCTGAGTTGGAGCTGACTCGATGGCAACTGGTTTTAAGCAAGTTTCCCAGGATCTGACAATATGGAATTGGAAGTATTCTGCTACATTCTCAGTCTTCTACTTCCAAATGCCAATTGACTGGCAGGAAGTTGGCTGAAACTCCCCTCCCATCCATACATTGCTGAAACCGTGGGACCTGCTACTTCCAAGCAGATCCATCTTGGTTGGGGACTGGCCTTTACCTCAAGCCCATTCCAGTAAAGTCTGCTGTGACTTTTCCATCCCCAGGCCTGGGTCAGATACTACCTGTGTATCTGTGCTTCCTTTCATGCCTGGATGTTCCTTGGGAAAGCTCTGGTCCTGCTGAGGATGAAGACTGCAGGCTTCTAAATCATTCACTTCTCCCACGACTTCATTCTCTGAAACTAGTTCAGTCTTTGTGTCATCTGCAAGCATAAGTTTCAACATCATTTGGAAGGTGCCTGGTCTTGTCCTCATCTCTGAGGCCTTCTATAGTCATGTCCCCACGCCCCTGTTCAACTGTTTGGTCCACTCCCCTGCATAACCCTTGCTCCATGGTCTACTGGCCCTCAAGCATGGTCAAAGTAGTGATTCTCATCTTTTCTCAAGCAGCATCCTGAGCTAAATGCTTGCCTTGCTCTGCCTTCTTAAACTAAGGGTCTCTAAACATTTTTTTTTTTTTAAATTTATTGTAGTTTAGGTGAAAAGTTTACAGCACAAATTAGTTTCTCATTCAAAAATTTATGTACAAACTGTTTGGTGACATTAGCTGCAGTCCCTGCAATGTGTCAGCACTCTTTCTATCCCAGGTTCCCTGTGTCCATTCATCCAGTTTTCCTCTCCCTTCCTGCCTTCTCATCTTTGCTTTTGGGTAGGTGTTGCCCTTTTGGTTTCATAGTTGATTGAACTAAGAAGCATGTTCCTCCCGTGTGTTACTGTTTGTTTTATACGCCTGTCTAATCTTTAGCTGAAAGGTGGACTTCAAGAGTGGCTTCAGTTCTGAGTCCAAGGTGCCTGGAGATCATAGTTTTAGGGGTTTCTCCAATCTCTATCAGACCAGTAAGTCTGATCTTTTTTTGTGAATCTGAATTTTGTTCTACATTTTTCTCCAGCTCTGTCTGGGACCCTCTATTGTGATTCCTGTCAGAACAGTCAGAGGTGGCAGTAGCCAAACACCATCTAGTTCTTCTTCCGTAAGTTAAAAAAAAAAAAGCTTTCTTTTTCACTTATGGAAAGCATAATCAAAATCGTTCCAATGGATGGTTAATGGTGACAGTTGAACAACATGATGAACATAATTAATGTCTCTGAACTGTACATGTGAAGATTATAGAAATGGCAAATATTTTGTCAACTATGTATTTGCCACAATTAAAAAAAGTTCCAACCACCATGAAGATGGTGCAGGATGGGGCAATGTTTTGTTCTGTTATACACAAGGTCACCGTGAACTGGAGCCAACTCGACAGCATCTAACAGCAAGAATTAAAAAAAAAAAAAAAATAGAGCATGGCCCCCAATATATGTAAATTCAAGATAGGAATTTACAGGATTAGATAAAAAAATAAATGTAACTTTAATTGCTAATTTTTTTCTTCCCCTAATCCCTGACAAGGAGCCCTGGTAGTGTCGTGGTTAACTGCTCGGCTGCTAACCAAAGGGTCGGCGTTCGAACCTACCAGCCACTCTGTGGGAGGAAGATGTGGCAGTCTGCTTCTATAAAGATTTACAGCCTTGGAAACCCTATGGGGGCAGTTCTACTCTGTTCTATAGGGTCGCTCTGAGTTGGAATCGACTGAACGGCAACGGGTTTGGTTTGGTTTTAGAATCCCTGACATAATCATGCACTATTTTCAAGACACTGCTCTACATCCTCATCTTCTGGTTCCATCTCAAATCTCTCCTACTCTGCAGCGTGACTTCCTCTGTTCTGGACACTCTATTCCCCTGCTGTCTGGGTCATGCCATGGCCTATAATGTAACTGTTCTATAAGATTGTCAAAGTCAGTTCCCACGTGTTGTGCCTTTGTTGTATCTCCCACAGTGTCAAGCTAGTCAGACTGTAGGTATTAAAAAAATTTGTTTGTTTTGACTGGGAACATACAATAGTGTCCTAAGCACAATTCTGGAGTCCCCTGGGTGGTGCAAATAGCTAATGTGCTCAGCTACTAACTGAATGGCTGGAGGTTCGAGCCCACCCAGAAGTATTTTGTAAGAAAGGCTTGATGACCTACTTCCAAAAATTCAGCCACTGACAACCCTATGGAACACAGTTCTACTCTGACACACATTGGGTCCTTGTGAGTGGGCATCAAGGACCAAGACTAGCTTACCACATATCTCTTGCTCCTAGCCCCAAGCCTGGCACATAGTAGGTGTAGCAGATCTTGCTTAGTGAAAGGCTCTTTGGAGTCAGATATTCTTACACCCAAATGCCAGCTCTCCAACCAACCAGGCATCTGACCCTGACTCTGTTACTTAATCTATCTCAGCCTTGTTTCTTCATCTATAATGTGCGATACTGACAATACTCATCCCACAATATTTTTAGGAAGATTTAATTATGTGATTATGTGAAATCATGTTCAAGTATAAAGAGTTGTCTGAATGTAGCAGAAGAGCTCATGCTGAGAAGTTCAGGCACAGTGGTGAGCTTGTGAGGAAATATTTGGGGGTAAGGGATCCTTCTGAATCACACCATTTGTTATGAATTGAATAGTGTTACCCTCAAGATACTGTTGGAATACTAACTCCTATTATCTGTGGAAACCATGCTCGGGTCAGGTGCACCTTAGTCCTCAAAGTGGCATCTTCGGCAATGAATCAGGAAGACCAACGAAGAACCGATATATTTGAATTATGGTGTTAGTGAAGACTGTTGAATATACCATGGACTTCCACAGGAACGAACAAATCTGTCTTGGAAGAAGTACAACCAGAATGCTCCTTAGAAGTGAAGATGGTGAGACTTTGCCTCACTTACTTTGGATATGTGAACAGCAGGGACCGGCCCCTGGAGAAGGACATCATGCTTGGTAAAGTACAGGGTCAGCTAAAAAGAGGAAGACCCTCAATGAGATGGGTTGACACAGTGGCTGCAACAATGGGCTCAAGCATAACAACGACTGTAAGGATGGCACAGGACCAGGCAATGTTTCGTTCTGTTGTACGTACGGTCGCTATGCGTTGGAACTGACTCGACGGCACCTAACAACAACGTACCTGTGGATATAACTCCACTGGGGAATAGAGTTTTCTTTGTTATGTTAGTGAGAAAATATCAGTGTAGGGTGTGTCTTAAGTCAATCACTTCTGAGATATAAACGAGCAGATTAGGCAGAGAAACAAGGATGCAGGAACGGGGAAATCGATGCCAGGTAGAGATCTCCAAGGAATGCCGAGAGAAGCTGAGACCAGGATTTTCTCCCAGAGAGGACAGAGAGACCTCCCCTAGAGCCGGCACCCTGAATTCGACTTCTAGCCTCTTAAACTGTGGGATAATACATTAATGTTTGTTAAAGTCACCCACTTCTGGTATTTCAGTTATAGCAGGACTAAGAAACTAAGACACCATTAGATGACCAGCCTACACCAGCTCTACGTGAGACCATTCTAGGTGTTAGCTTACCTGGGCCCTGCAGGGATTGGGCTCACCAATCATGTGGGTCCAGACCACACAGCCCTGCCCTGCCACTCTGCCCCCTTAACAGTCTCAAGGACAGGGCAATGGTTTGTTCTATTATACACAAGTTCACCATGAATCAGAGACAACTTGAAGGCATCTAACAACAAGTAAAAACCTGGGCGTTCACCTCCCATCTTTAAGGAAATTGTTACAAGGCATCTCACCAGTTTTCTGTGACATGTGACATTCCTGCAGCATCAGTCTGTCCTTGGCAACAGCGAGCTTCTCCCCAAGCTTTTTGGCCGTGCTTTTCAACTCTGAGTTCTCCTGGCGAGCCTCCCTGAGCTGCACATCCAGGTCCTAAACAGACAGGGGGGGGGTCTCATTTCTTATTCCTCTGGTTAGAGCTTTGTATAGCGACATCCTAGTGCACAAGGCATTAACAAATTCTGTAAGGTGGGCAAGTGTACAGCCTAAGCCCCTGCTCTCTGGAATTCAGCTGCTCAGAGTTCATCAAATCCCCGCTCATCTTCGGACTGGCTGTGTGGCCCTGAGCAATGTTTAATCTTTCTGTGGCTGGATTAAATGAGATAAAGAGTCTGGCACAGAAAAAAATGCCCAAGGACTATCAGGAATATTAGCAGCTGTTATTTTGAAAGACGGGGTCCTGTGGGTCTGTGGGGCTCATGTAACCAACTCAGACCATGATCTGGTTCTCCACTGAACACAAGTCCTAAGGATCATAGCGCAGGCAAGGTGTTGTCCTGAAATGAACAGGGGCTTTAGAATTAGGCTGACCTGAGTTCAAAAACTGATTCTGCCCCTTTTTAGCTGGGTGCTCAGTTAGGAGTAGGGTGGTGCAAATGGTTAAGCACTCAGCTGCTAACAGAAGGGTAGGCAGTTTGAGTCTACCCAGAGGCACCCCAGAAGAAAGGCCTGGCGATCTACTTCTGAAAAATCAGCCATTGAAAACCCTACAGAGCATAGTTCTACTTTGACACACATGGGGTCACCATCAGTTGAAGTTGACTCAATGGCAATTGGTTACTGGTCAATTAGGCCAGTCCTTAAGTCTCCCAATTTCAGTCTTGTCTTCTCAACTGTAAACTCCAAGTCTCTAAGTTCTTTGAGGTCAGGGACTAACCTACCACATTTATCTCCTGTCCATAGTCCCAGGCCTGACTATGGGCAGGTGTTCACTAAATATTTGCTGAATGAATGTAGTTGAATCCTATGGAGATAATAATGCCCACTTCAGAAGAAGTCAGGTGTCTAGCATAGTGCCTAGGACACAGTAGGTGTTCAAAAACAGGGGCCATATTATCCGATTTGAAAGTCAGGAAGGAATCGTGCTTTACCTGGATCCTTTCCTTCAGCTTCTGGGCGTACTTCTTTAGGTCACTTATCTTTCGGCCCCTGTGCTCCAGATCCCCTTCCAGCTTCCTGACCTGGGCCTGCAGGGCTGACTCCTGTACCTGGAAGTTCTTGCGGAGGTCCATCTCCTTCTCCTGCCACTGCCACAGGGCCTCGCTCACCGACTGCTGCATGGCCTGCTGGATGGCCTCGTTCTCCCGCTCGTATGTGGCCTGCAGCTCCTCGGCCTTGCGGGCGTAGTCCTTGCTCAGCTGCTGGTTCTCCACACGCAGCCGCTCCACCTCCTGCAATACCTCCTGCATCTCAGGGCCACGGCCCTGGCCTGGCTCTACCTTGGTGTCTGGGCTCTCCTGGGGAGGCCTGCCCAACTGGGGTGCCTCATGGCTCATCAGGTGCCGAAGCCTCTTCTCATAGTCAGCCTTGAGCTCCAGCATCTCCTTGGACATGGTCAGGACTTGCTCGGCGTGCTCCGCCTCCACCCTCAGCTCTCTCTCTCTGGTCTCCAGCCTGCAGGTGGCTGACTCGGCCAGAGCCTCCTGCGTTAGCTTCTTCTGCAGCTCCAGGGCGCTTTCCAGGGTCTGAATGCGCTGCAAAAGGGCGTCTTCCTCTGTTCGGCTCTGCTCCTGCAGGAGGCTGGCTTTGGTCTCTGCCACTGCATTCTGGAGCTCCTCCTGGTGGGCCTCCCGCAGCGCCTCCATGCTGGCCTCAGCCTCATCCTGGCGGGTGTTCAGGGTGTAGATCACCTGCAGGAAAATCAAGAGAGCCCAGTCAGTGCAAGGAGTGTGGGTGTGTGTCAGGGGCTTCCCAGTGGTGGAGTCTTATAGGTTGAGGGCTGTTATTGGTCCCCACAAACAACATCTGAAAGGAGGATTTGTGTGAAACTGATTAGAACATATTCCTAGAAAAAAACACTAAGGAAGCAAAGAAGTGGTTCAGGGAAGCAAAACAAGGGGGTAATATTGCTCAGATCCACAGAGTAGCTTTGACTGAATTCCATAGGTGGCCTCTTGTGTCAAATGAGAATCCAGTGAAGGGTTTCAATGTAGAGAAGTGATGTGATCTAATTTATTCAAAAGGACACTTTCTCAAAAGAATACTAGCAAATTGTATCCAGCAATACGTAAAAAAGATTATACACCATGACCAAGTGGGATTTATCCCAGGAATGCAAAGTTGGTTTAACATTCGAAAATCAATTAAGGTAATATACCACGTCGATAGACTAAAGGACAAATGCCACATAATCATGTATCAATGGATGCAGAAAAATCTTTCGATAAAATTCGATACCTCTTCATTATAAAAACACTCAACAAACTAGAAATAGAAGGGAACTTCCTCAAACTAATAAAGGGCATCTTTAAAAACCCACAGCTAACATCACACTTAATGGTGAAAGACTGAATGCTTTCCTTATAAGATCAGCAACAAGACAAAGGATATCTGCTCTTGCCACTTCTATTCAACACTGACTAGAGATTCTAGCCAGGGCAATTAGTAAGAAAATGAAATAAGATTTCATTTCAAGATTTTCAAATGAAATCTGGCATCCAGATTAGAAAGGAAGAAATAAAGCTACCTCTATTCACAAATGACATGATGTTGTATATAGTAAATCGTAAGGAATCCATCTGCTACTTTTCAGTGCAGTGCTGCAGGCAGAAGCCAGATTGCTGTGGTTAAAGAGGAAACAGAGGGTGGGGAAGAGGAGATGATGAATGTGTGCCTCTCTTCCCCAAAATCACTGGTGAAAGCAGGAGGGATGGAGTGGTTAGCTGGCTAGACGGACAAAGAGAGCCAAAGTCATTGGGGAGGAGGGAGAAAACCAGATATGTAAAAGAATGGTATAACTCAAGATAAATTGCTTTTATTTGGAATAACTGCAGAAAGGTATAAGGAATTTCACCTTCTCTACAAAGCTTCCCTTAGCTTCCCACAGATAACAGAAACTTATCACATTCGCCTTCCCAGTGGATCATTTGGCTATTATGGCCTTTTTCATGTCACACTATGGACATTCAAGTGCTAGGTGTCAAACTTCATCAGAATAGGCACCTTGGCTTAGACATATTGTAGCTCCCCAAGCACCTAGCATGGTACTTGGCCTGATGCAGACTCTCAGTGTGTTTACTCTTAGATTGAAGTAGGAGTCTGTAAGGGGTAATGTGAGACTGAAGTAATGGGATTCCAGAAAGGAGAACAGCAGGAGTAAAGGCCGTGAGGTGGGAACACTCATGAGGCAAACAAGTGTAACAATTAAGAGACAAGATTTTGAAGTCCACGTTGATTGAATTCAGATACTAGCCCTGCTATCTGATAAGTGAGTGACCCTCAGCATTCTATATAATCTTGCTGGGCCTCAGTTTACTATTTGTACAATGAGGAGAAAAACGTTTTCTGTTTTTATAAGGTTGTTGAAGGAGTAAATGCGATAATGCATATAAGGCATGTAGTAGCATGGTGTTTGGCCTGGCTAGGCTTGGCTCATGATGACAGTTGGCTCTTCCCATTATGGTTGTCCATGGGGCACTTGAAGTCTGACAGGGATTTTTGTGGAAATGGCATTCCTTGTAAGGAAGGCAATGTGGTAGGACTGATGGATCTGGGGTCTTCTAGAATGAGACAGATCTAGATTTAGTCCTACCTAAGACTGCTGGTGTATCCCAGTATCTGTTCTCTCCTTCTTCCTTAGAAATAGAATCTCCAATTTTTCCTTAAGCACAGTTTTAGTTACCTAGTGCTGCCATGACAAAAAATACCACAAGTGGGTGGCTTTAAAGAACTGAAATTTATTTTCTCACAGTTCTGGAGGCTAAAAGTCACATCAGGGTCTTGGCCAAGTTGACTCCTTTTGTGGGCTTCTTTCTTAGTTTCTGGAGCCCTGGTGGCACGGTGGTTAAGAGATACGGCTGCTAACCAAAAGGTCAGCAGTTCGAATCCACCAGCCACTAACTGGAAACTCTATGGAGAAGTTCTACTCTGTCCTATAGGGTTGCTATGAGCTGGAATCCACTCAATGGCAACGGGTCTGGTTTTTTTTTGGTTTTACTAGTTTCTGGGGTCTGTCAGCTATCCTTGGTGTTCCTCTGCTTAAAGACAGGTCCTCACATGGTGTCTATCTTCCCTCTGTGTATGTGTCTGTGTCTATTCTGCTCTTTATGTAAGACATCACTCAGAGTGATTAGGTTTAGGACCCACCCTACTCTGGTATAACCTCATTAACATAACAAAAGAAAACTCCTATTTCCAAGCAGGGTCATATTTACAGGTAAGGAGCAGGACTTTCACATATCTGTTGGGGGGACACAATTTCATCAATAACAGGTACACAGCCACATTTCCCAGACTTCCTTCCAGCTTAGAGTGGTCATGTGACTGTTTTGGCCAGTAGGCTATAAGGAGCAGTGTCATTACTTCTTCCAGGATGAGTCTTCTTTTCTAGAGCAGCCATCTTGGACCATGAAGTAGATGTCATGGGCTAAAGATGGCAGAACAATGAGGTAAGAAGAGCCAGGGTTCCTGACACAGTGGGAAGCCATGCCAGCCCTGGACTGATTCCAGTTGGGTTTCATTCATGTGAGTGAGAAATAAGCTTCTACCTTAAGGCACTTCTATTTAGGTTATCTATCACTCACAGACAAACCTATTCCTACCTCTGACTCTCATCTTTATCAAACTGCTCAAGTAACATCACTTCTCTGAGTCTCAGTTTTCTTACCTGTAAAATGGAGGTAACCCAAATAGACCTCATAGGTTTTTTGTGAGGATAAAATAAGATTATATCTGTTAATTACCTGGCACATAGTAAAAGCAAGTGCCGTTGAGTTGACTCTGACTCATGGCGACCTAATATGTGTCAGAGTAGAACTGTGCTCATAGGGTTTTCAATGGCTGATTTTTCTGAAGTAGATCACCAGGGTATCCTTCCAAGGTGCCTGTGGGTAGACTTGAACCTCCAACCTTTCAGTTAGCAGTCAACTAACTGAAATAATTCAGTTAACTTAATGCACCACCTAGGGACTCCTGGCACACAGTAGGTACTCATTAAATGTTCCTTCCTTCTCTCCTGTCACTCCATCCCCTCAAAAGGAAACATCCTTTGTCTTAAGAGATAATCTCTTCTCCTCTCTCAATTTTTAAGCAGACCCATCTTTCTTCTGACCTTGGCCCCTCACAGGTCACCTGGCAACCCTCTCCTGCCCCCGCTTGCTTTCTTGCACTCAACACCTACTAAAATGAAACATCAAGGCAACTGGCCGAAGCCTCATGTATAGATCCACCCCTCACAAAGAGGCTGACTTCAGAATCCATCAAGGAGCATGAATAATTCAGCAGCCAAGAGAAATACTGAGCAAGTCCGTCAGTCTTCCCAAGGGCTTTTGAAATCACTGCTAATGGCTTGATTTCAGAGAAAATTTCAGCAGCCGGCCTGTTAGGATCTGAGAGGTCGAGCATTGTAGGTTTAACAAGTTATCATGAATGGCTTATGAACATCAGATCCATCAAGTCTGGTGACAGGAGTCCAAAGTGAAATGGAAAAGCAAAAAAGGAAATAATATTTGTTGAGTGCCCAGAGTATAACATCCGCTGGGCCAGGTAATTTACCTTATGTTTCTTCAATTAATCTTCTGACAATTCTACAAAATGGGTATTGTTATCCCTGTTTTACAGATGAGGAAACTAATATTGGATGGGGTTAACTTAAAACATGGGGACAGTGGTGGTTCAGTGGTGGATTTCTCGCCTTCCATATAGGAGACTAAGGAGCCCTGGTGGCGCAATGTTTAAGCACTCAGCTGCTAACTGAAAAGTCGGTGGTTTGAACCCACCAGCTCTGTGGGAGAAAAGACCTGGTGATCTTCACCTGTAAGGATTACAGCCCAGGAAACCCAATGAGTCAGTTCTATTCTGTCATATAGGGTCACTATGATTTGGAATAGACTCAATGGCACAAAACAATGACATGCAGGAGATTAGAGTTCAATTCCCAGCCAATGCACCTCATGTTCAGTCACCACTCATCTGTCAGTGGAGGCTTGAGTGTTGCCACAATACTGAACAGGTTTTAGCAGAGCTTCCAGCCTAAGACAGACTAGGAAGAAAAGCCAGGCAATCTACTTCCGAAAAGTCAGCCAATGAAAACCCCATGGATCACAACTGTCATGGGGTTGCCATGAGCCGGGGGCCAACTCCATAGCAGCTAACAACAACTTAAAATGTAGTGGAGATGTGGTATGGCCCTTAAAAGGAGACTTACGAGTCTGCCAACCTGGGCCCACATCCTAGCTTTACCTCCTTCTAGCTCTGTGTCCTTGAAACTCTCCAAGTCACTGAACTGCTCTGAGTCTCAGTGAGCTCATCTATGACATGGAGAGAGCAATATCTACTGCATAGACTTGTCTGCAGATTAAATGACATAATGAACCTAAAACCTTAGCAGCAATGCAAGAAATGTTATGCTGTTATTATTACTATTGTTAATATTATTATCAAAAGTCATTGAGCCAAGAAGTGATGGAGCTGGGATTTGCACCCAAACCCCTCTGGTCCAAAGTTAAAAGTCATAGAAAAAACCTTGTTGAGAATCAAGCTGATAACATTCATCCATTCAAAATTCTTTTAGCATTTACTATGTGCCAGGCATGGTGTTAGGCACTGGGAATGCAGAACAAAATAGACCCTTCTTTTGAGGGGTAATAACCAGGATAGTGAAAGGACACAACCCTGACACACACCTTTACTG